TGTTTTGGCTCCTGGTGCCCCCCATTGCTGGTGCTGCCCTGTCCCCTCTGTGGGCTCTGCAAGGCCTCAGGGATGGGGGGCTGCTAGGGGGCCATGGACCACCCCAACCCTGGGGGGAGTGGTGCTGGGGAGCAACTGTGTCCCCCCCTTTCTCCTCCACCCCAACTGTGAAGCATTTAGGATGGGCAGGGGGGAGGAAAGGGCTTTTAGTGACTATGGCTGAGGGGGCTGGGGCATCTCTGTCCCCATCCTGGCTCCCCTGCCCAGGCTCTGGGAGCTGCCTGGGCTGGTGGGGCTTGGGGACGCTTCAAAGCCTCCCAAAAATCGGTAGGGAAACACCATTCCCTGATGTGGGGGAGTTCAGGTGGCCCCACAGAGCCCCCTGCCACGTCTCTCACCTGGGGTGGGTGCTGGATCACCACCACGGGGAGGGTTTTGCAGCTCTTTTTTTGGGACCAATGTTCCTGTGTGCCAGCATCCCTTGGGAGCCACCTTCCTCTGTGCCCTTCCAATTCACCCCCTCCCCTTCTCATTTTTGTGGCAAATGTTTAATCTCAGAAAATGGCCTTTTTTTTTAAAAAAAAGTTTTCTGTCTCAGTTTTCTAATAAAACCATCGGTTTTGTAAACACCTGGGTCTGTGTGTGGGGGGCACAGCCCCTACCCCAGAGCTGGCTGTCCCCACTGTGGGTGATGCTGTGACCTGCCAGGACATGGCCCTGGGCTTTGGGGGTGCTGTGTGGGGTGAGCCCAGTTTGGGGGGGAAGGGTCTGAGTGGGTGCCCCAGGTTGGATCCAGCACAGAGTGGGGTGCTCAGCACCTGTTGGGTGCTGGGGAGGGACAAGTGAGGGTGACGTGCTTGGGGGGTGACATGTTGGGGTGACACGCATCTCCTGGGGACAGCATCCCTGTGGTGTGTCCCCTGCTGTCACCCAGCCTGCTGGCCCTGGGGAGGTCCTGGCACCCACACTGTGGGGTCCTGGGAGGCTCAGCAGAGCCAGTGTGAGGTCAGGCACAGCCCTGCTGGGCTCCCAACCCTGTGGGAGGCTTTGGTGCCTGGCTGTGACCTGTTCCCCTGGGGAACTCCCTGCCAACCCTTGCACCCCGACCCAGCTGTCCCGACACCAGCACCACAGCCCGGGTCTCCTCCCTGTCCACACCACCGGGCTCCAGCCCCATCCCAAACAGCCCCCTGAGACCCCCAGCTCCCCTCCTGTCCGTCCCGGTGCACCCCAGCCTGTGCCTCCCCCCTGCTCTGGCAGTCGTGGCCCTGCCTGGCTCTCGGGGCTATATTTATCCCTCCCTGTGCTATTTCGCCTGCCTGGCAGGAGTTTATAACTGGCCGGGACAGCCCCACCTCCTTTCTGCTTTCTCTCCCTTCCCTTCGCTTTCTTTTCCCCCTTTCCAGCCCGGCCGCTTCGCTTGCCCTCCCACCCCGGCACGATCCCCCCCATGCTGGCAGCAGCCGACTGGGCCCATTCCCCCCTTGGCTTTGCTCCGACAGCTGCCGAAGCCCGGGGAGCGCTGAGCCGCCAGCATGGGGCCTGCTGAGGAGCTGGTCCGGATCGCCAAGAAATTGGATAAGATGGTGGCCAGGAAGAGCACGGTAAGGCGGGTGTGCGAGTTTACACACACGTGTGGGTTTACACACCTGTATATTTACGTGTGTGTGCATCTTGAACGTGCCTGTGTGTATTTGCACACGTGTGCACGTGTGTTTGGGCATTGCAACGTGGCTTGGGGCAGGGGAGAGAGGGAAAGGGTGGTT